TCTCTCTCTCTCTCTCTCTCTCTCTCTCTCTCTCTCTCCTTCCCCTGAGCTTGCAGGTTTCATATGGCAATGGATGACACCTTGGGACTAGATCTCCTACACTTGCCCGGCAGAGCTGCCGGTGGAAAGAAGTTACATATAGAATTACAGATATGCTGCTGATGTGATGACAATGGCTGGATGTATAATATCTCATGTTTGAGAATTTTCAGCCTTCTTATATGTATATACAATTGATGTTTGTCATTCCAATAAAGTTCCCATGTAATGACTAAAGCAAGTATTACAATATAACTTAACAAAGAATTTTTACTGCGTTCACACTTAGAGTCTAGTCACAGTAGCTAAATGACATGTATCATAAGGTCTCTGAATTATATGAAGTTAGCACAGGAAATCTTAGAGTCTCGGAGGACTCCCTACCTTTCCAGATGTTTCTCTCATCTATTACATTTTCTTTCCTGGTTAAAGTTAGATCTATAGTGCCCTCTGCTGGTCCTGAGCATCCTCTAATTGAGGTTGTTTGTGAGCACACAGGGAACTTTCTCACAGTGTCTCCTGTACAGGGCTATGTCTTCAGTGGTCGCAGAACTCAGCTTCAGGGACAACTGATTTCTCAATGTGTCCACTGACACACTGATGGACATTTCAGTGATGGCTCCATACTTTCTTTTTTAATTTTAATTTATTTTTTTAGAAATTATATTTTCTCATTTTACATGTCAAATCCATTTCCCACTCCCTCCCCTCTTTCTGCTCCCTCCATCTCCCTCCACCATTCCACCCCACACCATCCATTCCTCAGAGAGGATAAGGTTTCCTGTGGAGAGTCAACAAAGTCTAATACATTGCTTTGGAGCAGGACCAAGGACCTCCCACTATATGAGCAAAGTATCCATACAGAGATAATGGGTTCCAAAAAGTCAGTGCACAAAGTAGGGATAATTCCTGGTCTCACAGACAGTAGCCCCATAGTCTGCCCCAGTCATACAACTGTTACCTATGTTCAAAAGGCATAGCTTGGTAATAAACTAGTTCCCTCGCCCTCTGGCCAGAGTTTGCAGACTTCCATTAGCTCAGGTAAGCTGTTTCAGTGGTACCCTCATCATGGTCTTGATTTCTTTGCTCATATTCTCATACTCTATCCCTTTATCTGAATTTTGGAAGCTCAGCACAGTGCCCCACTGTGGTTCTCTGTATCTGCTTCCATCAGTTGTTGGATGAAGGTCCTATGATGACATTAAAGATAGTCATCGAACCAGGCAAGGCAAGTTCAGGCACCCTCTCCACTATTGCTTAGGGTCTTAGCTGTGGTCATCCTGTGGATTTCTGGAAATTTCTCTAGTGCTAGGTTCTTGTTAGCCCCATAATGTCTCTCTCAATCAAGATAACACTTACGTGTTCTCTGTCTCTGTCCTTCCTCCATCTTGAACATTCCTCTAGTTCTCCTCCCTGCTTCCCTTCTCCCCTACTGCCTTACTTTCTCCCCTACCCCCATGCTTCCAATTTTCTCAAGAGATCTTGTCTATTTCCCCTTTCCTGGGGGAATCTATGTATGTTTCACTTAGGGTTCTCCTTGTTACTTAGCTTCTCTAGAGTTATGGACTATAGGCTCCTTATCCTTTGCTTTAAAGATAGTATTCACCTATGAAAGGGATCATACCATGCTCATCTTTCTGGGTCTGGGTTACCTCACTCAGGATGGGTTTGTCTTCTTCCATCCATTTTCATGCAGATTTCATGAGATCATGGGTTTTTTTCTACCACTGGTACATTGTGTAAATGTACCATGTTTTGTTTATTCATTCTTCAGTTGAGGGGCATCTAGGTTGCTTCCAGGTTCAGACTATTATGAATAAAGCTGCTAGTTGAACAAATGTCCTTGTAGTATAATTGAGCATTCTTTGGGTATATGCCTAAGAGTGGTATTACTGGGTCTTGTGGTAGGTTGATCCCCAATTTTCTGAGAAACTGCCATGCTGATTTCCAGAGTGGTTGTACAAGTTTGCATTCCCACCAGCAACGGAGGAGTGTTCCCTTTACTCCACATCCTTTCCAGCATAGGCTATCATTGCTGTTTTTTTTTATTCTTAGCCACTCTGACAGGTATAAGATTTTATCTCAGAGTAGTTTTGATTTGCATTCCCCTGATGGCTAAGGATGTTGGACATTTTCTTAAGTGTCTTTTGGCCATTTGAGACTCTTCTGTTGAGAATTCTCTGTTTAGTTCTATACCCTATTTTCTAATTGGGTTATTTGGAATTTTGATATCTAATTTCTTGAGTTCTTTACATATTTTGGAGCTCAGTCCTCTGTTTGAACGTGGTATTGGTGAAGATCTTCTCCCATTCATTAGGCTGCCTTTCTGCCTTATTTACTGTGTCTTTTGCTTTCCAGAAACTTCTCAGTTTCAGGAGGTCCCATTTATTTATTGTTCTCAGTGTCTGTGCCACTGGTGTTATATTTAGGAAATGGTCTCCTGTGCCTATGCATTGAAGGCTATTTCCCACTTTCTGCTGTAGGAAAATCCTTGAGCCAGTAGCCTTTAAGTTACCCGCCCATTTGGGCATGGCCTCTTATAATATAAATGCCAATGTAAAGTGTGCCCTCTCTCACTTTTCTGGGTGCTGGATTCCATTGCTGTTCCCCATCTGAGCAGAGGACTATGATCCGCTTAAAAAAAATAACCCTTTATTATACTCAATTCTGAGCTAGTGTGGGATTTCTATTTAGTGTCCAACTTCATCTGGAGTGCCAACATGTGCTAGCTAAATCCACATAAAACCTGAGAGGGCTTGGAAAGGAATTCTAGACACACACAAAAAAAACAAAGTTTACTGACTCCCCATGAGAAGCCTTATCCTCTCTGAGGAGTGGGTGGGGAGTGGGGTGGGAGGAAAGAAGGTGGGAGGAGCGGGAGGAGGAGAGAAGTGGGTACTGGGATAGGTATGTACAATGAGAAAAGATTGTTTTAAAAATAAGTAAATAAGAAAAAAATTCCCTCAAAACAAAAAAAGCATTGTGAAATTTACAAGCAAATGGATGGAATTAGAAAAAAAAATCATCCTGAGTGAGGTAACCCAGACCCTGAAAGATAATAGAGTATTTATTCACTTATATTTGCATAATGACTGTTAAATAAATGATAACCAAGCTATAATCTGTAGACTTAGAGAGGTTTGGTCTAGAGGAAGGACTAGGAAAGACACGTGGATCTCACTGGGAGGGGGAAATAGAACAGATTTTATAGGTAGATGGAACAGGGAGAAAGTGAATGGAAGGATCAGATAGGAAGGGGGGAGATTGGTTTGGGGAGGGAAAGTGGAGAAAGACAGATAAAACTGGAGGGCATCTGAGGAGTATGCATCTGAGGAGTATGGAACCTAGTACAGTGGAAACTTTCTAAAATATATGAAAGCAATCCTAATGAAGTCTCCAAATAATAAGAGAACCAGAGTCCCAATTGGCCAGCTCTTGCTACCAAACAAACCTTTCAGTACAGGACTAGGTTACCTCCAGTTAAGTTATTGGCAAAAGAGGTCCCACAGAAGTCCTGAAACAATCCAGGCTGTTGCCAAGACAATAAGTTTCTCTCCACAAACTGACAGCAAGGCCCCACTGCTGAAGACAAAACCCACATTGAGCATGGAGACATCTAGCTGGAATCTACATAGAAACTTCACACCTATGTTGCCTGCAAAACATGCTAGGGCAAGGGTGACACAAAGATTTACCAAAGTCTGATTTGATTGACTCTTAAGGATATTCTGCTGTATTTGTAGATCAGTACTTTTAGTCAGCTATCATCAAAGAAACTTCCTTCTGTAGACAATGGGAACAAATATAGAAACCCCACAGCCTGACATTACACACAGAGAGAAATCTTGGAACACACAGTTCTAAATGGGATGTTGTAGCGTGAATTCTAATTGATCTTAATAATAAAAACCCGGAGTCAGATATCGGTGTAAATGCTAAAATATCAGAGAAGCAGAGCAGCCAGATGCTCTACCTCTACCGAATCCTCAGACCAAAGTGGGCAAGATTCTATCTCCACAAATCCTCACACTGAAGGCTCTGAGCTCCTGCCTCTTCCCGCCTTTTATTCTTCTCTCCACCTAGCAACATCCCTTCCTGTCTCTACCATCCCTTCCTGTCTCTACCATAAAATGTTATGGATTTGTGCATAACATTTAGCACTTGGATAAGATCCGTGGTCTAGCATAGGCAGCTCTTTTAATTTCTTAAAGTGAGCAAACTCTAGAACATTTTAAATTGAACCTCTCCCTCTCATTGTTTGTACAAGACCTCGCTAACTTGGGAATGCCTTTCTATCTCAAAACCCTGGAGGCAGTCTCCATTAGATCAGAGTCCAAACAATTTCTAGGGATCGGAAAAATAATTGTCTGTGTTCTCTGCACTTGTGGATCTTTATGTGTATACATGTACAACTGACGGCTTACACGGCATTACACAGGAGGTGTCCCTGGGAACTAAATTTTGAAAAGGCCCCCTCTACAACAGCTTCAGTCTAAAACTTGTCACGGGGGGGTGGGGGGCGTACTCATTCTGGTGTCTGGTGTCATTGGTGCTTTCTGATGTCAATCAAAGCCTGTGGGCAGTCGCTTTGGTCGAGGTGGTGTTGTTTGAGAAACTGTCAATGAAGCTGACGAAGAGAAGGGGCGGGCCTTGACAATCTCGCGAGCCTATGCTTATCTCCGGCCTTTGTGTTTGAAAATGTCGTAGGGTGGTCCCCAGCCTTTGGAAGCCTGGGGATCCTGATGAAATCGTGAGCTTCGGGTGCTGGAAATGCAAGAGGACCGTGGAGATGGTGAGCACTGGTGGCGAGGCTGCTCGGAGGGTTAGGTAGGAGGGATTCTGCACTCCCAGGGGCGCCGGGCCAGGTCCCCTTGGCCTAGGGCGGAGCTGACGGGCTGCGCGAACCTAGTGTCCTCCGGTGCCCTGGAAGGGAGGAGCTGGGCAGAAACACGGAGTTTGCTTCCAGTCCCGTCCCCTGCTGCGGCCTCTCTGTGTCTGCAGCCAGCTTCGCAGACTGCTGGAGATGGTCTGAAGGAGCATCAGAAAATCCAGTTCCGTGGCGGAGGTTCCTGCCGGAGAGCAGCTGAGCTCCAGATTTATCCTCCTCCCAAAGTTTTCCCTTGAGCTTTCTGAATGTACCGGAAGTAGGAGCTCAGATCCAAAACCCTTTCCGCAGCCTTCGGGATCCTAGGTCTGGTAATTAAATCCTAAATCCCAAATATGTGTGTCATTCCCAAACAGTATTGTCAATTGATTTATTTGTGTGTATTTTATCAGACAGCTTTTGTCATTATTTTCTCGGATAATAAATGGTACTTTATTATAGATAATAAATGGTTCTAAAGTTTTTTATGTTAGTATATATTAATTATACATGGCAATGGGTGGTGTCATTATGACATTGTCATACATGCTAATGTATTTTTTTATTTGTTTATAAAAATTTCCACTTCCTCCCCTCCTCCCCATACCCTCCCATTCCCCCCACTCCCTCTCCTCCTCCCTCTCCAGTCCAAAGAGCAGTCAGGGTTTCCTGCCCTGTGGGATGTTCAAGTTCCTCCCCCCTCCCTCCAGGTCTAGGAAGGTGAGTATCCAAACAGACTAGGATCCCAAACAGCCAGTACATGCAGACGAAACAAGACCCAGTGCCATTGTCAATGGCTTCTCAGTCAGCGAGAATCCGGTTTGATCACATGCTCGTTCAGTCCCAGTCCAGCTGGCCTTGGTGAGCTCTCATTCGATCAGTCCCCTTGTATCAGTGGGTGAATGCACCCCTCGCGGGCCTGATTTCCTTTTTCATGTTCTTCCTCCTTCTGCTCCTCATTTGGACCTTGGGGGGCTCAGTCCGGTGCTCCAATGTGGGTCTCCGTCTATATCGCCATCCATCGTCTGATGAAGGTTCCCTCTGGTCCTGCCTATCTTGCTCCATGCTAATGTATTTTGAACATATCCTCCATCACTTCTCTCCTGTCCTCCTCCCACTAGTCCCCTCTTCCCCAGTAGTTCTACTTTCATCTATTTTTTGGTGAACCAGTGAGCTTCATTAGGGTTATTTACTGAGAGATTATTTACCGGAGCCAGGGCATTTAATTAGTGGCCACACTAGTAGAGAAAATATCTCAATCCCTTATCAACTGTAACCTGCCCCCAAATCCTCAGGGAGTGGCCAGGCCTCATGGCCCCTCCCCCACAAAGGATTGACAGGTCCAGTCTTGTGCGGGTCCTTCTGCCTTTAATCACATCCACTGACATCTTGGGTGCAAGGGTCGTGTCATGCATGTGGCATAACTTGAGCTTGGTATTTTGTGGGATCTGTCGTTTGTTGGTTGGTTTGTTAGCAGTTCCCCTTTCAACACCTTTTTTAAAGAAAGTCTTTCTTGTTGTTGTTTTGATTTGATTTTGTGATCTCTTTTTGTCTTCTAGGCAGTCTTCTCACAGTGTTTTTGGATTGAGTTTTCCCCCTGGAGAGTTTCCATGGTGATGTGTCCATGCTCTGTGGTTTGGTTATTTCCTGCACCTGGGCTTGGCACCGTGCGTCCACGGCTGCTTTGTGCTAGCGCATATTGACCACTGTGTCCTCTCCTTAGAAAACAGGCTGAGGTGGGGGTGCAGTGAGGGAGCAGCTGGATGCCCTGAGCCTGGAAGATTTTGATCTAAGAGGCCCTTTTGCTGTTCGCATGTCTTGACTACTGAGGACTGTGTTGGCATTGTGGTGGGGAAGTCATTTCTTCAACACTGTGGCTTTAATCCGTTTGTAACTACTTAGGTTATATGGTCATTCTGTTTCATGGTTTTGTTTTTTTTTAACAGCTGCCCTGAATTTATATTTTAAACAATTGTATCCCAAGGGTTCCTTTCTAAAACACCCATGGCCACTGGAACTCTTTTTTTCATTTATTCTCTCATATGTGACATCTGTAGTTGCCCCTCCCTCCTCTCCTCTCTCCCTCTGACCTCCCTTCTCCCCAAGATCACTCCTCCTCTGTTTCCCTTCTGAAAAGAGCAGGCCTCCCAGAAATATCAGCAGAACATGGCATAGCAAGTTACAGTAAGGCCAGGCACATACCCTCATATCAAGGGCGAGATGAGGCCATTCAATAGGAGGAAAAGGTCCCAAAAGAAGGCAGCAGAGTCAGAGACAGCCCTGCCCCCACTGTTAGGAGTCCCACAAGGACAGCAAGCTACACAACCATAACATGTGTGCAGCAGAAGGCCTAGATCAAGTTCATAGAAGCTCCCTGATTGTCACTTCAGTCTCTGAGCCTCTATGAACCTTGGTTAGTTGATTCTGTGGGCCATGGAACTCTTAAAGCTGGCCTGTCACCTGTCAGCTGTGTATTGAGTCACTAGTTCAGGTGATTAGAATCCATGGCATCAGGTGGCCACTGGTGGAATGCGCTCTAAAACTTCTTCCTGGAATAAACAGCAGTCAGTGCTTTTGAAAGTTGTAGGCCATGGAAAATTGGTCCGTCAGTTTAAGCCAGAAGAATTACATGTGCTTAGTTCTCTTTCACCCAGAGCCTGGAGGTTCAGGATATAGCCCAATGGAAGGTGTTGACTTGGGTCCTTCATTGTATGAAGAAACTGCTTCCAGGAAGAATTGGTAGACCTGGAGTCTGTACTGTGTAGCCAGCTTGAGGAGAGGGCCTGGGGAGTAGGAAGATCATACTCAGTCTTCCAGAAACCTGTTATTGAGGAGGACAGGAAATTTTAGGACTCAAGCATGCCTGGTCTACGTGTGAGCTCATTCAGATGTCTGACACAAGCGCTGCCTTAACTTGGGGGTCCTAGTCCCTGAAGACGCCCTTCCTTGATGTCAGCCCTGGAAGCGTCTTTCAAAACCTACATATTTGTTGCATTTCTTTTCCTTGGCAGATGAACAAAAGTGAGATTAAAACCGAGATGGGGCACCATGAGCACAGTAAAACAAGGGTTCCACTGGACCTTGCGTTATAAACCAGTGAATCCACTGAGCCTACTTATAGAACTATGAATTGCAAAACTGCTGTACAACCGAGAAGTCTTAGCCCAGAAAGTGTGTCCAAAACAGAAAAGCTGCTTCATGGAATCCCATCTTAACTTTTCCATTCCCATATATTCTAGCACCTTCCGTGGTCTTTTGCAACTGGGAGGCAAGAGAATGAGGTAGGTGGAATCCTAAAATTGAGTACTGTGACTCTCCCAGCTTGTTCTATCTCTTAGGGCGTAAGAACAGCCACATTGCCATTGCCGTAGACCGCTGTGTTTCTTACTCTTTCTTGTCATGCCTGCCTGGCCACCACTGACTTAGTCTTCATTATCTCTGTCCTGCACTGTGATAGTGGAAGAGATTGTTTTATGCCGTGAGGGAAAGCCACAAACACCCTCCCCTCTTAACTTTACCGCTCATGTGGATTTTCCATAAGACACTTGGACTGCTGGAGCCGTGGGCTTGCTCAGCAGCTCTCTGAGACTTCGGCGTTAGCTTCCTGAGCTGTGCTGTTCCCCTCAGGGTTCTTGAATTCTTCCATCAGCTTCAGAGTCACAGTCAGTTCTACTTACTGTGCACTCTGTGGCCTGGGGTTGAGCTCCTGACAGCAGCAGTGGGGAACTCGCCAGCAAGGGGAGGCAGACATGGGTAAAGCAGGATGTAGACTTCCCCCTAGACTTATAAGTCCGGAGGACTCCCTTTCTGGAATACATCTATCTTTGTTGAGATAGGGGTTGTAACTGTCTATTTTGTATGCAAACTCAACGTGTGTGGTGTATCTGAGCCGTGTTCTGATCTAGGCCTACATCTTAGTCAATGAAGAACTGAAGAAACACTAATAAAATGTCTGTTCGCTTGAGAATTTACCGTGTGGGGATGGCCTTGATACCATTGTAGGATCCAGCTGAGTAAACTAGAAGCTTCTTGGGAATCCCTGCTTCTTCCAATGAACCTCCACAAATTGAGCCACCTCTCCCTATTCATGAGAGCGGTTTGTCAGAAACATGGATGGACACATTGAATGATAGATTTACAAAATAAGCTAATTAGCTGCATCTACCTGGCCGTCTCATATTCCTTAATAACTGCCATTAGCAATTACAGGTTCTTTTATAATGTGAATTATTATTATTATAATTGTATGTATGTAGATAGATAAATTCTTTTATAATATGAATTACTAGCATAATTGTATGTATGTAGATAGATAGACAGACAGATTGAATGCTGATTTTTAGCCCTTCTGTAACCATTATGTAATCTTATCTATCTACCTACCTTATCATTATCTGTCTGTCTATCTGTCTAGGAACTTTATTGGAGCCAGAGACAAAAAGCTGATATATATTAAAAGACCATGAAGTATTAGCAGCAATGGGGTACAGGCAGGAAACAGTTCATGCTGGTTTTTGTAGCAGAGGAGGAATTCTCAGAGATCTCTAGTAAATCTGGGATACTTTATAACAGAAAGGAATTTCTCATTGAGCAAGCTTAGAATTTGTTAGGAAGAGGTTTTCACATAGATTTGAGTGTGAAGGTAAATAGAAACAGGTTCTCTGAAGTGGGAAGATACATCCTTGTATGGATGTAGAATTCTTTACCATCTCAAATAATTATTGTCCGCTACACAGTTGTAAGTTCAACATTCTGAACTTGCATCTCAGGGTTGCTGAAGAAAAGATCTTGGGCTAGTTCCTGATGTGCAGTGGATGACGTTGTAGTTTGTGAAGCAGAACCCTTAGGCATGGGGATTGCCTGAGTTCAAGTGTTTTTAAGTGAATAAAAGTTAATAGTCTTGTGAAATTCTCAAAGACTCCTGGAAAGGTCTCAGGCCCTATTTGAAGGTTGGCTGTATTTAGGTCTTCAACATTGTTCATTGCTGTTTCGATATTTTATTTGAAGTATTCGTGTATAGAAGGAATTGTGTTCATAGAAAATTTTATTTTGTTGGAATTTGTGGCTTTTATCTGAGCAGAGACATCAAGCAGACACCATGAGAGGCTCCTTTGGCTTTCCTTGCTCCCTCAATTTCCTCTTCTTTTCAGATTGATATTAGTGAATCCCGTAGCAGAACTGCTGGAGAAACCAAAAAGAACCCTGCTGTGGAGACATGGCTCCTTTTTGCTAAGAAGCAGGATTATGCACGAGACCGACTTGAGTGGTCTTGTCATGGAGTAGGGACCATAGAGAACAGAAACCTGTTAATCACCTGGGATTCTTTG